GCTAGAGCGGTGTCACTGGCGGAAGGTCGTTTCTTCTCGTATTACTGAAAGTCATCTTAAGTTTACCAGCTGGATTTTGCTACAATTGCGTTTATGTTTGATCGAAATAGAAAATGCTCTCTTGATCTTATTAGGTACTTATTTATTCAAACATAAAGAATGTGTGCCGTCGTGCTTGCCATGGGAACATAAAGGAATAATTGAATCATTTTCAACAATGCTTATTGCTTGAATGTAATCACCTGCCTCACATGACTAAGTAATAGTCATGTGAGTACTTTTTATTGCGTATTTTCGCATAAGACGAATGACACGAATAATGTCTTTCCGGTATGTTTACGAGCAGCTAATGAACCAAACATGTACAGTCAATCACTTAGGGGCGTAACTGCATTCAAGGCATAACGCACAGTTCAGAATATTTTATTTTTATTGCGCAGAAAGCTTGCGAGAGGGAGTGAGTGCATCCTTCTTGTCCCATAGCCATCGGGTGTATGTTTATAACTTGAGCAGTGATCCTTCGAATTTATGTGGATGCGAAATGGATAAAATACAGCTCAACATTCCTCTATTACGTCATCGGATTTTTTCGCCCGAATTGCGCTTGTAGCCCAGCTGATATTTGCTTTGCGCGGACGTGTTTATCCACTGCGGGGTGTTATGTGCATTTATGATTCCGCTTATATTTGCTGACACTTGGAATAGATATGTGGCGGCGAATCGCCTGGTGTCCGCAGAAGTCCTGCTGAAATCTGAGGTTTACGGCCCTGCTGTTAAGATCAGATGCTTCCTGACGAAGGCCACTTGAACTTTTGATGATCTTGTTTTGGCACTTTCAGAAAACTGCTCGGCTACATATTTTTATCTTTATATCTCCTGCATGATACAGTGGGCAAGATATATCATCCTTGCATTTTTAATGGGTCATGGGCATCCTGTATAGTTTTGGTTCTGGAGCATGCATAGTTTGTTTTTATGGGCAGTAACGTATTTCATTTACTGAAGCTATATAAAGCGTAGTTGCTTATGCGGGTTATGGCCTGCTGTGCGCCGGAGCTGTTGCAGTTTATTGGGTGTGAATTTTTGCTGCTTCGTATCGGTTATTGCCTACGGGACCCGACAGCCTAGGCATGTGCTTTATTGAACGCTTTTGCGAACATGAAATTGCATCGCATATTGTCACCCTGAATCAATGCGATAAATATTCGCAAACTTCTGTGCTCGCGTCTGAGAAGTAGCTACAGAATGAGAGAGATGCCAGTGTATGGTATTCTTTCGGTTCAGACTTAATGGTGCTTTTAAGGGTAGCTAATATGGTTGATATAAGTATATAAAATGGTCTTCATTTAAGAATGTGTTAGGGAGGGACACGCACGTGGTGTGTATGGAACAGGGAACACGCTTGCATGCTTAAATGAGAAATGATGAACGGGGGCGCTGTGAGCAAGCAAACAATTAAGCTAGATGGCTGACAGTTTAGATATAAAGGATATAAAAGCTGAGGTTAAGTAACAGTGATTGGGAGATCCGTTGTACAGGTCGTGAACCGCGGCGGTCACACCCTGTGTAGAACACGTGCGCAAGTGAACACGGGTGCGAACTGTCGACGATCCAACACTCGGCGGGTTCTTGGGTCTTTGCAGGTCACGGACTAACACACTCAAACAGGCCATGGCTGACTCGGTTCACAGGCAGGTCATTCACTCTGCAAGTTGAGGCTTACACAGGGTCACGGACTGTAAAGGTCAAGGGGTCGGGCGGTGCGCTGCAGAAAGAGGCGGGGTAGGAAGGATGGAGATGAGGACGTTGTCGAGTTTCCAAAGCAAAGAGGTGTTCTGGTGGACGCGGAAAGAAAAAAGAAATGCGACAGAACCCATTCGAGGCCTGACCCAAGGAGAGAGATGGATGAAAGGTGAAGCCGAGGGAGTCAGGCGAGCAAATGGCAAGCGGCCCAAGGCTGGGAATATGCAAAGACATCTGCTGTTTGGACAGTGGAAGTTTCATTGGACCAAAAAGAGTATACCCTTCTACTATATTCCTTTTGTGTCGAGGAAAGGTTACATATCGGGTAGATTTTATATATATATATATATATATATATATATATATATATATATATATATATATATATATATATATATATATATGGTCAGGTAATTAAAGGAGGTTAAAGGCTCGCTGTGTGCGTGCTTGGGGTCTGGAGGAGGGGAGTAGAGCGGAGAAGGGTTGTAAAAGACAACAGTTTCAGGGTGTGAGGATTGGGGGAGTTAGGGGCGAGGAGAGTCGAAGTGAAAGGACTGGGGAGAGCGAGAAAGAGGAATGGGAAATAAGCATAACGAGGCAAAGCAAAGCGGAGAGCGAGCGGAGGCAGCAGGTAGGAGGAGCCGTGGCACGTCTGCGGTGCTTCGGGGTCGCGTCCAGGGAGGAGCCGAGAGGACGAATGAGTCACAGCGTTGTTGCCCACGGGGGGGGGGGGGGAGGCGAGAGGGGCAAGCGAGAATTTCATGGGAGAATGAGACTGGAAACGGGAAGACAATGCTTTGGGTACGCCCTATGCCGTGCGTGATGTACGCGCGGATAATGGATGGCACCCGACATGAAATCAGTAATGACCATTTTCATGACCATTCTGTGCGCCAGTCACGTAGCAGATGGATGGCGGGCCCGAGCTGGTCACGGCTAATCATCGTCCCGAAGTGACGTCACGGGGAGGGCGGCGCTAGTGACCAGGTGGAGGGATGACGGAGGAGGAGGGAGGAATAGAGCTTTGGGCCCTCGCGGCTCGCGCGTGTGTGCCGTCAGCTTGCAGGTACATCTGCGCTGTGTACAGTATGCGCTTGTATCCAAATTTCTTTTATACTATAGCTCCAGTTTGCAGAATAAGAGTTTGTACTTTGGTTTTGTTTATGTAATTTACTATATGGCCTACTTTAGGTAATGTGAATATGGGTATAAACTGCAATAGTTGGTGTGAGGATGAGTCAGCAAAAGAAGCACTTGGGGCAGTGCAGAGGATTGTGAAGTTGAAGTGGGTTGTTTTGTTCTCTGAATTCTTTATAAACGGCGCCAGGAACTCTAGGCGTTTTTTATTCCCTGTCCACTGCAAGAGGCCAAGATAGACGCCTATTGCGACGAAGCCATGAGGGTAGACTTTTGCTAACGCC